TCAAAATATTGTTCTGTTCTTAGTAAGAGAAGAGTGGGTTTAGAGGAAAGGAATTTATATTTTGTTAAGATAATTTCTTTTATTTCCTGGTGATTTGATCAGGCTTTGACTATCAGGAAATAGTTTTTTATTTATTTATTTTTAATCTTTTAATTTATTTATTTATTAAAGATTTCTGTCTCTTCCCCTCCTCCGCCTCCCATTTTCCTCCCCCTCCCCCCATAAAGTCCCCCTCCCCCGTCAAAGAAAAACATATAGGCATCCTCCTGAATATTAACCTTCATCAGGCGATGAAAGGAGACAGAGACAGAGACCCACATTGGAGCACCGGACTGAAATCTCAAGGTCCAAATCAGGAGCAGAAGGAGACAGAGTACGAGCAAGGAACTCAGGACCGCTAGGGGTGCACCCACACACTGAGACAATGGGGATGTTCTATCAGGAAATAGTTTTAATAAAGCCAAGGTTTACACAAATCTCTCGGTTTGTTTAAAGCCTTTCACACAGCAACTATATAAACAATTGCTATTTTAAGGTGATTTTAGTCATGTAATTTCTAATGTGTCTGAGACTAGAAATATAGAGAGCTGTGCATCTCAGCTTTATCTAAATCATCTTCAAATTTTGCAGAATTCACTTTTTGATGACTTTTTATTGATTCTTTGTGGATTTCACATCGTACATCTCAATTCCACTCATTTCCCCATCCCTTTACATCTGACCTTTGCCCTTGAAACCTCCCCCAAAATATAAAACAAAATAAAATAAAAAGAAAAGTCAAATCTCATCCTGGAAGCTGTGGTGTGACAGCGAGTCCCACAGTACACCCTTTAGTCCATACTTCTTTACGTGCAAGTGTTCATTGCAATGAATGACACTGGTTTTGGTGTGGGAGAATTGTCTGTAATCTGTCAATCATGTTTTAAATAAACGCTCTGGTTTCTGCTGTACTATTGACATTGGGCCCTCACAGGGTGCTCTTAGATATCCTGTCGTCCTGTGTCATGGAGATCCTGCAACATTGGGACTGTGCTCCAGCAGATCATAGACGGGGTGGATGTTAGGATGGGTCAACTCATAGCCCTGGTTGTGGGTCTGGATTGCTGCTGGGTTGGTCATCCCACAGCAGACTCTCCCTCATCCTCAACACCTGGGTGGGCTCTCCAACACTACCCAGGCTAGCTTACCCTCATCAGTAAACAGAAAAGGGCGCTGTGGGGGTCCTCTTTCCCTACCCACCTGTTGGTCACCAGATTGAGAGGGGAAAGAGGAAGAAGGGGAGGCAGAAAGCTCCACACATGAGCACAGAGGGAGGCTCCCAGAGAAGGACTTCAGTCAATCAGCTCAGCCCTGTTCCAGAGAATAAGGAATATATAGGATTGGACAGCTTGGGGACAACCCTAATTCACATTAGTTGGCCTGCTCCTATCACAAACCTTAGTAGGACGCAGTAGGGTCCTAAAGCAGAGCTCCTAGCACAAGTCTTCTTAGCAGAGATCTATGCCAAGGGTCAAGGTAAAGATGAATGAGGTGTCTGGTTTAGAGACTGCTTCTAGATAAAGGTCAGTGCTCCAGGCCTGGGGACATCCCCCAGATAAAAACAGGTAGAGAGCAGGAAGCTTTACTGGGGGAAGGAGCTCCATACTACCCAGCTATTGAGATAAGCTGCCCACCCACGCAGACTGTGAGCTGTAACCAGCCAGGGATGTATTCCAACAGGGTGGAGTCGGTTCTCCTCTCACACAGTCAGGGCCAGCTCACCTGCACCTGTGCCACCAGGGCCAGCCCCACCGTGTTGTCAAGGCTCAAGGCCACTCTCTTGAGTGCTGCAGCTGGTGAGAAGCAGAGCCACCTCTCCAGGTCTCACATCCTTAGGACCAGCACTCCCACCCACCACAGGCATCTCCCCCTCACTCACACCACCATGTGGCTCACCAATGTCCCCAATGACAGGGTCAGCTCTACTGTGCTGCCCAGGTAAGGTGAAGGGCCCACTCTCTTGAGTACTGCAGCTGGTGAAGGGTAGGATCAGTTCTCTGGCCTGCCATAGGTGGCTAGGAGCAAGGGACAGGGGAGGGTGGGGCCAGCTACCCAACTCTCATCCCTGCCGATGATAGGATCAGCTCCACAGTGCTATCCAGGCAAGGCATGCTGGGCCTGTTCTTCCAAGTGCTGCAGCCATTGAATCGCAGGACAGTCTCCTCCATGCTTATGATCCAGGGGTCGCTCTCCTGCTGCCATGGGTGGTGAGGGACAGGGGTGGGGTGTGAGGGTGGAAGGCATGGCTCCTTCACTGCGATATGGCAGATGAGGGGTGGGGCCCGATCTCCCATGTTCACATTCTCTGGACCAGCTCACCCGTGCCCCTGTCAACAGGGTCAGATCAACTTCGCTGCCTGGGTGAGGAGCAGGGCCTGCTCTCCCTAGTTCTACAACTGGTGAGAGACTGGGTTAGTTCTCCCAGCTGCCATCAGGTGGGAGGAGGCAAGGAGAGGAGGGCATCTTTTTTTCACCCAAGCCACCACATGGCAGACAAAAGGGGCAGAACCAGTTCTCACACTCACACACAATGGTCAGCAGAGTCAGCTCTGTCGTGCTGCCCAGGTGAGGTGGCAGGGCCTGTTCTTCTGAGTTCCCCAGTGAGGGGCAAGGCCAGTTCTCTCTAGTGCTGCAGCCAGTGGGGAACAGGCCAATTCTGTATAGTCCTATCCTCTCATGCTTTAGTACTAACAGGACACACACATCAGCACAGACCATGAATGCAGCCAGGCCACAGGCAATGGCCCCTGGCAGAAGCCCAAGCTTGGATATCCCCATGGCCCCCGGGGGCAAGCAGGTCACCCACATCAGCACACTCCTCTCTGCCGTCACCTCTTCAGATCTGCTTCTCGTCACAGGACATGAACGATTCTGTCTCTCACGCCTCGATACCCTACCCTGGATTTGCTCACAGTAATACAGCATGGCCACCCGTGTTGTCTCCTCCCAGCCCAGGCTGGGGGGCCCCAGGTTCAGTGGCACTTGGCAGGCTCCTGTTGTCTCTCCCATCCCTGGATTCATACTTTTAAATTTTCTATTTGGGCAATCATCCTATGTAAAACCTTGTCTGTTTCTATTTATCATGACATAAGCATTTTGTTATTTTTAAAGTCTGTATTGGATCAGCAGAAGTGTTCCCTGAATTTGTGAACTGTGTGATGTTTTTGAAGTTTGATTAGCCGCAGTCAAGACTAAGAGTCTACATCTCTTAATTGTTTGAATTTGTGAAAAGGAAGGAGGTGATACTAGCACTGACTCTGTTGTGGGACTTTTGTACATTGTGTGAAGATGTATTTCCTGTGATCGGTGTAATAAAAATCTGAAGACCCAATAGCTAGGTGGGAGATACAGGTGGGATTTCCAAGGAGAGAAAGGAAAAGCAGGAGAAAATCTAGGCACACAGGAGCAGCCAGAAACATGGAGAGAAAACAGGAGGTGTAAGATGGAAGAGAAGTAATGCCATGTGATAGAACGTAGATTAATAGAAATAAATTAATTTAACATATAAGAACTGGTTAGGAATAAGCCTAAGCTATAGGCTGAGCTTTCATAATTAATAAGAAATCTCTATGTCGTCATTTCGGAGCTGGCTGGTGGGACAGAAAAAGACTCATTACATATGGCATCCAATGCAGAGGCTTGAATGTCCAAACACAGGGCCTGAGAAAGCTAAGAGAAGTTCTGGACAAGGAACTGGATGTGGATTCCTAGGCCTGCAGTCCCTCAGGCAGGCCAGGTAATGCAAAGGGTATTTTTGAAACAAGATACAATAGTGTTAATTATCAACTTAAGAGATTCTACAGTCACTTGGGAGATGATTCTCTAAGCATGCCTTAGGAGGATTTTCTTGATGCTGCTGCTACTTGATGTGGGAAGACCCATCTTAACTGTGGAGCCCAGCATTCTCTGGGCACAAGGTTCTGAACTGCATACTGGGAGAAATGAGTCTGAGCACTAGCATGCACTCATTACACTCTGATTCTTGACTGTGGATACATTGTGGCAGCAACTTCCAGTTCCTGACACTTGGACATCTCCACCATAACAAATGCCAAAACAAACCCTTTCTTCATTAAGTTGTATTTGTCAGAGCAACACAAAAAGACATTGAGGCACAGTGTCTTACTATAAACCTTGGATGGCCTGGTGTTATAGGCATGAGCTACCGCATGATGTTAACTCCTGGGCTAGCACAACCTGGTGGTCCCTGGCAGCCAGCCTAACTCAGCTACAGTCCATAGAGCCTTTGAAGTCTAACCAGCATTTCTCTATAAGTTGCCTCAATATTACTTGGCATCATGCCAATTCATTTCTCAGGGCACTCTCTCTCAAGTCCTCTCCCCACCAGTCTGCAACCTAACTCAGGGTCTGTTCACACTACACTAGAATTTGTAGTAGTTTATTTTTTAAAATGGATCTTCCCTCTACAGCCTAGGCTCAGCCCCCCAACTTGTTTTACCCCAGCAACTTGGGCAACTCTCTGTGCCCTTTGATTTAGTTCAGTGGAGTTGAAAATACCCTAGGAAGACCAAGTATAGATCAGGTAATCAACAGGGACTTTAAATCAGATGCTAAAGGTGGGATGGAAAGGCTAAAAGACTGACACAGCCTCCAAGAAGCAAAAGTTTTATGTGGATACAAAAAATCAATAGTGTGACATAACCACTAGAAAAATAGAAGAAAATATCATTGCTGGATTTATACTCTCAAAGCAGAAACCATATATGATATCTTCTGTCATTGCCTGCAGTTTCTATTTTATTTGATTTCTTGAAAATATTCTCGGAGTTATACTAGCAATATCAAGTAGTCTGAACATTTTCTTGCTTTGTTTTTCCCAAAATTTTATTTGCTGGTCGAAGAAAATTTATAAAGAAACATGAAAAAGGAAGTGGACACGAAAAGCCCATTTTGTGTAAACATCAGCACAAATGAGCTAACAAGTCAAAAGTTAGGTTTGCTGTCAAAGGAGGAGACGGATGGTAGAACTGAGCCCAGAATAGGGTAGAAAGAGAAGCCAGGGTGGATGCAGAGACCCACCTATGTGTCAGGACTCATGGGATACGCCCACCACCACGGTGGATGGGATTCAGCTGTCTGACTTCTAGTTTATTTCACAATAGTTGACACTCAATGTCCTGAAAAAGAAAATCTCATTAGCCTACTGTGTGCCACACGCCCAAAACATGAGGATAGAACTTTGACCTGTGGGGACAAGAAACCTTGCTCAGAAGGTTTAAAGAATCCACTAAAGTAAGACAAGTGATTCTACATAAGACTGTCTCGGGCTGGACCTTGAATCCTTAGAAAAACATTCACATGACATACACAAAGTCTCAAGCTTGATTGCTAGGTGGGTGTCAGAGGACAAATGGATATCAAAAAAAAAAAAAAAGAAGAAGGTTCAATGGAGCCTGGATACCCAAAATGCAACTGCCTTATAGGGACACTGCTGTGTCCAATGTAATTGCTCCATGCGTTCCTTCCCATGAAAACTGGCTAAAGGGCATGAGAAAGGGTGTCTGGGAGTATCTAACATGGCAGCCTGAGAAAGAGCCACAGGGACAGAAGTGAAAGGTGCTAAGACTGTATGAAACTGGAGTCCTGACAAGATGGAGGGACTGTCAGAAAGAGAGACCGATGGAGTCAGGATGAGGCTAAGGGAGGAACAGGCAGGTTAAGTCATCTTAAAATGGGAGGGGTGAGTGGGGCTGTGACAACATAATAGAAAATCCATCTATGGCACAAGGGCTAAAGATGGGCAGGTGCTGAAATGACATAAAGTGCCATACCGAGTTTAGCCTCTCTTGAGAAGCGGATCTTTAGGCCTCCTTTCAACTCCTCGAATATTATGATCTGTACAAAGAAGTAAGCAAATCAGCCAGAAAATTCCAGCTCTCCTTCTGAAGCAGAACAGAGTTCAAAGAAAGGGGACTATTTAGCAGGGGACATTGAGAGAAATCACCTCATTAATTCCAGGATGGAGCCAGGCAGCAGGGACATAGAGGGTTTCCTGGGGACCGATATTCCAGTATCGTCCTAGGGTTCGTCCGTTGATGAATATGACACCCTTTCTCCAGCCCTGAAAAAGATAGGGAGGTTTCAGATTCTAACCTCAAGATGCAAAGAGAAAACAAATAGACCTCTATCCCAATGGCACACTAAACCTTAGCATGGGCCAAGATAGACAAGTGGAGTCATAAGTGGGAGGGTGTGCAACATATGAGCTTTTTCCCCTGCCCTGCCTTGGAGGTGGCTCAGCATCAGCCTCTAGGAAGATTCCAATTTCCATCTCATCTCCCCAGGGCTGGCCAAGCCATCAGAAGGGATGTCTTACAATCTAATTATCACCAAAACACACCAGGCTTTTAAAACATAGATCAAACTGTATAATAGCAGGAATGGTTGCCAACATGCCCTGAATGGCATGCTTTAGATGGTGACCTCATGTCAGTGGTAGGGGTCTCTACATCTTGGGTTATGTGTGAGAGCTACTGGGTCACACTCACTCAATCCCTGCTACAGAGCTTGCACCAGCCAGTCTCACTGGCACTCTCTAATCAGGCCTCTGCTGCATCTCTTCACTGTCCTTGTCCTAGCCTAAGGGTCCGCAAAGACTTCATCTTTTGAATGGCTATGACTTGCAGTGACTAGGGGGACCTTGGTTCTCTGTCACACATCAAGGTTCATGTACTGGGGAGCTTTTCTGAGGCCCTTTTGTGCCGGGGCTGGGGCACAATAGCAGGAGAGCAGTGGCACCAACCTTTACTTTTATGAAGGTGTCCTGGGGAGGATCTCCAGCTCTCAAGTGACTGAGGAAAAAGGCAGGGCCCTGAACATGGCTTGTAACTACTTTCCAGGAGTCAGGAAACCTCGGAAGTCTTCTATGGTGATCAAGAGACAGTGAGATGTTACACGTTTGCTCTAATGTGCCACCTGTGACCTCTTCTATGAAGCCTGACATCCCACTTCCACTGTGGTCACTGCCATGTCCTTGGCATTCATGATACAGTAGGAATTAACTAGCAGACAAAGGGACAATCACTCCTCTTCTCCAAGGCATCTATGAAGCTTGGCATCATTTCATTAGTACTCTGCATCGGGATTGATTTTTCTCTCTGGAAATCAAAGGCTTCATCTGCAGACCTCTGAGCATCCCTCCAGCTCTCCACATTCACCAATTTGAGGTATGTTTTATTTTATTTTGTTCATCTACAGTTCAGTGACTGGACTCAGGGCCACACATTGCTGGGTAAAATGCGCTATCCCTGACTTATAACTCCACCCTGGCCACTTTCCATCAGCAGAAGTTAAGGCACCTACATTTGTGTGATGGCGTTTTTCATTTCCAGGCTGTAGATTCTAAATTGTCTCAGAGGAGTCTTGTCCAGATAGATGTCTCCAGTTAGACCTGTGGACCAGGAATGGAGGTGGGTGTGAAGGGTTTGAGCCGGGCAGAGATATGCACAGGCTGCAGTCAGGGCTCTCCCTGAAGGAAGTTGCTCTCTTGGCCTCATCTGGCTTGAAGGTTTGATAAACCGTTTAGATTTCCCCTTTCTCTTGGTGGTGCTGAGGGTTAAACCTGGACTCAATAGGCTTCAGGCATGCTAGGCAAATATTCTATCATTATGTTACCTAAGCCCAAGCCCTATGCAGATATTACCCTCTTACGTGTACACACCTAGAAAGGGCCTCACAGTCCATATTAACAGCACAAAATCACTACACGGACAGCAGATCTGATCAGCACAGGACTTCTGACTAGATTGATACTCAGGTTAGTCAAAGCACTTATGGGAACAATCATGTGTGGTGTGACTCTGCTCAGGAGGAATGGACCCAAGCAGAAGGAGAAACACAAGCCCTGGATTCCTACAGTGAAGACTTGGTATCCCTAGAGAGGAGCCCTAACCTGGCACATCACCATAGCTTTCTTCTGCTGGCACCACTTTCAAAACTCTCACTAAGATGGTGGCAGTGTTATGTCTCTAGCTTGGCAACTAAAGAACAACAAAAAAAAAATCACAGTTTCTGTACAGTGGTATCTTGCAACCAAAAACATATGCTCTTTTCCAAACACAAACCTGTTCCCAACTTCCATTGTCCTGCAGAGGAGCAATAGCTTGTGATGCTCCACCACCTTAGCCGTCTTCTTTTAGGACCCACCTTTTCTCTCTTTGTTGATATCCAACCCAGAAGAGAGTCGGCCTAGGTTCTCCACCAGGATCCTCAGGATCTGGGTTTTCTTGGAGGGCTATTCAAGAGAGACCAGAGTAAACCTCACTTGGCCCTCCCTTAGGCTTCCTAGGCCTCCCTGGAGCAGGGACAGGCCATGAGCAGGTGACTGACAGATCACAGGCCACGGAACCTTGTAGGTCTCCAGCTATGGGAGAGGCAAGCCCCTGTACCATTGCTTTTCCTCTTCTTTCCCTGAAAAAGTCACCTGAACATTTAAACAAGGACTCTCTTGGATGGTGACCAAGCCATCCTGCTCTGGACAATGAATATTCAAGTGGGGGGAGTGTGGTGTTTTCTCAAAGAACATTCACCAAGACCTCTAAGATGTATACAAGCCTTCCTGGGATTGCTGGGTTCCTCTTCATGGAAGAGACCACAGGCAGAGGAGTGAGAATAATCTATAATAATCCCTCAAAACTCTTGGTCCCAGGCCTAGATGGAACTGGAATGGCTCATCCATGAACTGTGTTATATACATTTTTCACAAGAAGCAGCTCGCTCTTGAAACGATCCAGGACTCCTACGTATTTGTTATCCAAAAACACCTGGAAAAGAAGGAAGAGACGACTGTTAGTGCTTCATAAAGAAAGGAAAGAACGCAGTCCTGAAAATGCAATAAACAACGCAAGAGGCAGAATGAATTCCTTGTCTCCCAGAGCTGCATAGACTCACAGGGTCACTAAGAACAGGTGATAGTTTAAGTAGTGCCATGAGAAGATGCAGGAAGTGCAGCCTGGGCCAGAGCTCTCAATGAAAGCTGGAACCTGGATCAAGTGTAGACAAGGAGGGGGAGATGTTTAAAAGAGTTGTAGGAAACTAGAGGAGAAGGGAGGTAGGAATGGAACAACATTATCAAGAAAATGTTAGCAAGGATGGAACCGAGAGACAGAGACTGTTCTGTGTTTGTCTTCCTTACCCCTACAGGTTCAACCCTTCCAGGGGCTCAACTCTGCTAGATACTCTCAATTTCAATCTGGAGACCAGGTGTCACATTCTAACTGATTTTAGGGGTGCCCTGCATGGACCCATTTTCCCTATTACCTACTCTGCTGGGAGATTTTTTGTCTACTTGACCAACTACTGTCACCTGAGAAGCAGGAACATCAATTGAGAAAAGTCTCAGATAGAGTGGCCTGTCAGCAAGCCTGTGGGCAATCTTATTAATGAATGATTTGTGTGGGAGAGCTCGGCCGGTATGGGTGGTGCCACCTAGAGCCAGTGGTTCTGGGTTGTGTAAGAAAGCAGGCTGGGTGAGGTACAGGCAGCAAGCCAGCTCTAGTCTCCTGGGTCTTGCCTTGAGGTCCTGGAAAGGCTTCCCATGATGATAGACTGTAACCTCCAAGACAAATAAGCCTTTCCTTCCCATTGCCGTTTTGGCTCATGGTGATTATGGCATTTGCAGTAAAACAAACTAATAGAACTACTATATTTATTAAACACCAGATAAACCACCAGAGAACCTTAGTCAAGCAAGACAACATAAGAATAATTTACTTCCTAGATAAATTAATCTAAATCAGTTTTTTCAAATGTAATTTGGCTAGTAAACTGTAACAATAAAAAGTCTTAAGTCAGAAAACAGAAGTATTCTGATTGTAAGGTTACCAGAATCTAATTACAGAAGTTACATATTTGATGATCCTTTTAAAAGCCTACTGTTAAATTGTCTTTCTTGAACGCAGGGTGCCTTGTTGGAAGAGCACAAAGAAACGATCACAACACCCTCCAAGAGCAGTTACAGTGCTATGAGCAGACTTGAGTGGAGGACACGCGAGAGAAGAACAGGCCACAGCCGGGCTGCTTTGCAGACATGGAGAAGGCTGGCTCATGGAGTCAGCTGGAGGTGGGCAGCAAGCAGAGATGTGTAAGACAGAATGTTTGTCCTATGCAGAAGAGTCGTGGCACTCTGAGGGATGGCAAGTAGGAGAGGAAGGTAGAAAGTGATGGAAGGGTCTGAAATGGGAAGACCCACTTTGTATTTACAGAGAAGACACCAACTTCTTCACGTAGCAGAGATCTACGTGAAAAAGCAATGCCCAAGAACTGCTGCGCCACACAGGGGCCATGAGAAAATATGGAACAAAGACACGGTGACAAAGGAATTTCTGGACAGAGAGTATATGTGAGAAGCTGTGAGTCCACAAACAAGCACAGGGCTGACTTAGGAAAGCAGTGTATACACCCTGGGAAAAGCCAATGGTGTATGTAGTGAGTACAGATAAACCTCTATCGACGTGTAAGAAAGATATCTCTGCAGCATTAAAAAAAAGGAAGGAAAAGAAGGAATGAAAGGCAGGCAGGCAGGCAGGCAGGCAGGCAGGAAGGAAGGAAGGAAGGAAGGAAGGAAGGAAGGAAGGAAGGAAGGAAGGAAGGCAGAGTGAAAAAGAAAGAAGGTGAAGGGGAGAGGGAGAAGGCTGGAGTCATAAAGATACAAAGATGAAAGTGTAAGGAGAAATCTGATGGCATATAGAAGTATAGAATCTGATAGCAGTATATGGTCAAATATAATCTCCATGCTGGGGAGTCAGAGTCAGATAAATTTCTGTCCATTTGAGGCCAGCCGGGGCTACATATGTTAGGCTCAAAGTGAAAAACAAATAAATAAAAACCAGAAGTATAGGTTGAGTACTATTTATCCAAAATGCTTGAGGCGTAAACACTTCAGATTTGGAAGGTTTTCAGGGATTAGATTTTCACAGACTTCAGAAGTTAAATATATTCATGGTCCATCAGTGGTGGCCCTATGCCTTCAATCCCAGCACTCAGTAGACAGAGGAAAGCAGATCTCTGAGTTCAAACCAGTTTGTGGAGCTAACTCCAGGACAGCTCGCACCATTACACAGAGAAACCCTGTCTTAATAATAATATGTGTGTGTGTTATATATCATATATAGGTTATATATCACATATATTATATATATGCATGTATATCCATAGATAGATAGATAGATAGATAGATAGATAGATAGATATAGATTAAAGAAAGAGAGAGATCTTCATAGTACCAGAAATTGTTACGTGGGCTCCTGGGGGAAAGTGTTATCAACAGACTGACCCGTCTTTGATCGCTATGAGCTACCATAATGATCATGTGTCAACATAGGCACAAGGTAAAATAATGGCGTGAATGTTATGGGGATAAACAATGGCCTTCTGATGGGATTTAAGTCCTGCTCTAGGAGAAAACATATACATGGTCTCTTACATCCAAATAAGGTCACAGGTCCCAGAGGAGCTCACAGGTCCCAGAGGAGAATTATTATTCTCCTAAATGGACACAAATTCTAAACCCATCACACTACTCATAGACTACAGTAGCTGCCGGTCCTCATCAGAGAAGTTTCTTTCTGCAGTTTCTCCATGGGCAGTGGTTAAGCAGAAACTTCCTGACCAAAGTGCAGAGAACAAGTACTTGAGGACTGCACAGCCACAGGTGGGATCTCTATCACTCCCCACCCAAATCTCAGGGATCTCCTTGAGAAAAGGGAGGATAAGATGGTAGGTAAGGGCCAGATGTCGGGGGCCAGACCAACACATTGTCTTCTGCACATGCCAGGACTGCTGCCCGTGAACTCACGGTACTTGTGGCTGCCTACGTAAGACCTAAAGAAGACCTAGCCTGTCCATATTCTAACATGGGGATTGGAGAAGCTCAGTAATCCCCAATGGTAAGTGAGGGGCCATTGACAGTTGACAGCTTCTGGGAAAGGGAGAGTCTCTTTCCTTCAAGGATGTGATCCCAGTAGATTGACCACATTCCCATACTCACAGGCAGCCCAGTTAGACTTTGTGAGTTATTAAATAGAAAAAGAAAGAAGAGAAATGTGAAAAGGAGAAGGACACAGACAAGAAGGGGGTGAAGAGAATGGGGAGGAAAAAGAGAAAGAAGAAGACACAAAGTTGGAAGGAGGAAGGGGTGGACCTGGAAGGAGTTAGTGGGAGGTGTGGGGGTAAAGCTATCAAATACATTGTATAAAGAATTGATGAAATAATCTATTTTTAAAAAATAAAAAACTTTGATATGTGTGTTTATGTGTGTGTGTTTATATGTGTGTGCGTGTGTGTGTATTCATGTACGGTGGGTCCACATGCTCATGCATGTGCCTATGGAGGAAAGCGGTTAACACTGGGCATCACCAATCACTCCCACGTTATTTTAAGACAGGGAGGGTCTCTTCATTGAACTTGGAGCTCATGTTTCAGCCAGGTTGACTGCCTGACCATTGAGCTCCTAGGATCTTCCTGGTTCCACACCCCTGAGCTGGTCTCATAGACATATGGAACCATGCCTGACTTTCTAAATAGGTGCTGGGAGTCTGAGCCCAGGTCTTCATATTTTGCAGTGAACACTATTCCCTCTGAATCATGTCCCCAGTCCCATCTGGAATTGTTTGCACAGCACACTTTCACTGAGCATTTCTGACTGTGGACTAGGAATACCCAACCTGAAGCCTCAGGAAAAGGTGATGTGGAAAAGACAAAGAGCAGGGAACTGTCAGAATACAAAGACCAGCTCTTAGCTTGGAGTGGGGTGGAACCTTCAGTGGCTGCACTGTTCCTTCCCAGCTGCACCTGCTTTGAAAGGCTTTCATGATTCCTGAGGATTTTTTACTTGGAATACATCACAGCTTGGTGCTTTAAGACTTAAATGAGAAGAGCCAAGGTCTCATAAATATTAGGGGTTAATACATGGTAAGAATAGGGACTACAAAATAGGACTTAAGAACACTATCGTCTCCTATAAAAGTATATACCTAAGCATGTCTATGTCTAGAAGACTTCACTGAAGGAAAGATGACAAGCAACAGAGATAATTTTCTGAAGGACAAATAAGTTGACCACCAATTAGACATTCACCTCAGTACCACAGGGTGATATTAACAGGAGAGTGCCATTACGAAGCACAGATTCCCTACCTGCCCTCGGTCTTGAATATGACCCTTTGTGGTGAGGAGGCCTCCATTGAAGATGGTGGTCTCATAAAGCGTGTACCCAAAGGACTGGCCATACCCTTGGTTCACAGGCAGCTGCTCCATGGAGAGTGGCTTGAAAGACTTGGCTGGCTAAGGCAAAGACAGAAGAGACAAACAAAGGGTCAGGCTAGAGACAAGAATCTCAGAAGTTGCCACCCATAACCCACTTTTCCAGAGGGATGACCCCAACAGCCTTGCCAATGGGAGTACTGAGAAGGAATACACAATGGTAATCAGTCTTATGCATAACATAGATATTATCTTTTCGGTTTCTCAACCAATCTCAAATTCCACTGTACATGCCAGCCAATGAACTAATCTCATAATTTAGATGAAAAGCTGAAATCAAGAAAAGCACAGGCATTATGGCATATGCCTCTAATCCCAGTAGTTGGTGAAGAGAAACAGGGGGTTCTGTGGCAAGTCACCAGAAGGACTAGCCAGAATTGAAGAGTTGCAATTTTGGTGAAGACATTCTGCCTCAAAATAAATAAAGGCATACATGTATATGTACATAAATAAATAAATAAATAAATTTAAGCCAGCCTGGTCTACAGAGCTAGTTCCAGGAGAGTCAGAGCTACACAAAAAACTCTGTCTCGAAAACACAAACAACAAAATATGAATAATAAAAATGAAAAAGTGAAGAATGATCAGGAAAAGCACATGACATCAACTTTGGACCCCCACATGCATTTTCACATATGTGCAAACACACACATGCAGGTAACATGCACACACTTATTATGTGTACTACACACAAGAACGACAAATCCCTAAGAACCCCTTGGAGAAACAGATGAGTCTGAGTCTGAGGTGGCTCAAGCCTAGATCCCCCAGGGGAACAAACAACAAAGATGCTAACAGCTCTGGGTGTCCTGTCAAGAAGACACAGAAGCCAGGAAGGGTCCTGATCGACTACAATGGGCCACTGTGAACATCAAAGAGACTATGGTGGCATACAGACATGCCAAACTGTGCACATTTATAACCATACAAAGAACCCCAGCAGCAAAACATCCCACTGCACCTTTGGAAGTCACATGGATTTATTTTTCTGATTAAGGAAAATACTTGAACTTGCCTGCTTTCTATACAAATCATACATATAGGTAAAAAGCTGATGAAAGAAGTTGCCTATATCTGAAGTTAATAAATACAAAGGAAATATAAAATTAAAGTGTTTCCAAGGCATTTAATGAAATGTTGGCTTTCTTTATCAACATGGTTTATCTCATTTCACCTGTACCTCTGTCTTTCTGCCCCAACCTTTATTGAATAATTTTATGTTAGTATTTACATGTATGGTGTTTGCCTGCCTGTGTGTCTGTGTACTATGTGCATGCAGTACCCATGGAGCCCTGAAGAGGGCATTGGTTCTGGAACTGGAGTAGCAGATATTGGAGTCCCTTGGGTACTGTGGAAGGGTAATGAGTGCTCTTAACCATGGAGCCATTCTGCTAGCTTGCTGTGGGACAATGGTCTTTTATCCTGTCACTTCTGTTGTTTTTAATAAAATGCTGATTGGCCAGTAGCCAGGCAGGAAGTATAGGCCGGATGACCAGGCAGGAATTAGAGGTGGAGTGACAAGGACAGGAGAATTCTGGGAATAGAAAATAGAAAGAGTAAGTCTGCAGTCATCACCCAGACATAAAGGAAGCCAGACACAGAGTAAGCAACATGTGAAGGCCTCGTGGAAAAATGTACCAAGCCACATGGCTAACAGAGACAAGTATTATGGGCTAATATAAGTTATAAGAGTTAATAAGAAGCCTGAGCTAATAGGCCAGTCAGTTTATTAATTAATGTAGATCTTTGTGATTTTCGTTGAGACTTACCGACTGTGGGCAACCAGGCAGAACAGAAACCTCAGTCAACACTAGCTGTAGAGGATTATTTTAAGCTTATCTCAGATCCCACCAAAATCCAACATTCATCTTAATAAAAGGGTAGGTGGAGGTTAAAAGAAGTCATCACTATGGTAACATAATCACAATAAAACAGTGATTATTATAATTTCCTAAAACAAGAGATGTTTCAGGAAATTTTTAACTACTGACTTTCTATTTATGTACTGTAAATATCCCCAAAACATAAATAAGTAAAAACAAAAATAGAAAATAAGAGGCTTAGTTGACAGAGTACAGAGCCTGGCTCCTACCACCATGTAAACCCAACATGCTGTCACAAGTCTGTACTCAGCCCCTTCAGTGGCGCCTGACTTCTGTTGTGACATTGTCCACACAGAACATGCTTGTGCAATCCTAACCACGGTTCTCCAAACATGCAGTCCTCCCTGTGTTTGTAAGTGGATCCCAGAGTGCCTCAGCTTCTCTGCTTCCCACATCACATCACCCTGCTGCCATGTCATTTACTCCCGTTCAGTCTTTCAGCCACAATGCTGCACTGACTGAATGTCCATGGAATCCTGGGACCGCCCAGCACAAGGCCTGCATCTCCATAGCCCTGACGATGAAGCTCAGTTCCTCCACCTATGACCAATATCCCTCCCGTCAGTTCTTCAGTCATTCTTCTTACTCATTAGACTGGAAGCTGTCTAGACTAACATCCTGATAATACCATTCCAAGATATTGACATTTGGTGAGTTTTATAGGGATGAGCATGCAGTGTTTCCTTACACCAGTTTTCAATCTGTGCTTCCCGGAACCCTAGTTAGAAGTGACAGCGTCATAGAGAAGGGATGGCTGCTGCTTTCAGGGGAGGAAAGTTCAGTGCCCAGAACTAACACCCTGACTAACCTAGTTTATGGTTTATACGTTAAACTTAACGATTAAGTTTAGAGAAAGCCTCCCTCTATGAAAACAGAAGATTAAAAGTCATTGCCCTAGGTTGAGTCCATTCTAACACCTTAATAAAGCGGGGGATGGGGCTGGAGAGAGGGCTGAGTGGTGAGAGCAGGGCACTGCTCTTGCAAACGACTTGGATTCAGTTCCCAGCACCCATGCAGTCACTCACAATAGTCTCTAACTACAGGTCCAGGGGATCTGAGGCCCTTTCTGGCCTCTACAGACACATGTGTGGTCCACTTACAAACATGCAGGCAAAACACTCACACATCAAATGAATCTTTAAAAAAAGAGAGATGAAGGAAGAAACTACCATGAAGGAAGAAAATATCACAGAAATGATACCATGTGTCTATATCCAAAAATAAAAAATAAAAAAAAGTCACCTGGTCCAGATGGGGCAGGACGTCCCACAGGGTGAGGAAATGTAAGAGTATCAATTGCTTATAGGCAACCGTGTTTGTAGCTTTTGGTCGAGTGACTGTGGAAACATCTGCAATGAAAAGCAAATGGCTAGCCATTGTAGGACCTCCAACACCATTCAGAGACATCAGGTACCCTGCTGTCCCACAGCCTCCACAGATGAAGGACAGTCACGCGCTCTTATATCTTAACTCCAGGAGGAGGTAAGACACGTGCTAATGAGTAAGGGTCCTTAAACATGCAAAAAAGGACCCTCATTGTCCTAGAAAAGAGGAGCATGTTGACCAAGCTGCTAGTTCATTAGATTCTCCTAAAATCCAGCTACAAATGTGCTTGCTCCCGGGTTCTACCCTTTCTTCCCCACCTCAACCCAGACATGTTTGCTGAATAGCTCAGAAGACGGGGACCTAGAACCTCTAGCTTTTAGAAGTTTTAGAGGATGGCGGGCACAGCTAAGATCAAGCAAAGTGGTCTCATACTAAGCCCATGAGAGCAGACTCCATCTCTTGTAGATGTCCAGTGCTGAAGATAAACTGGATCAAACTGGGGTTCTCCCCAAAAGGTCTTCACACCTCCCCCACTCCTCCCAGAGCAGATCCCACTTGAGAAATCTAAGTCACCATTCACACAGAAGTTGATGCCGGGTACCTGTAACATAGTGAAAAAACATTTGAAACACCCGGTACTCGGGCGTGTATTCGCCAGATTCTGTCAGCACTGCACAGTAATCTAAAGAACAAAGAAAAATGTGTCATTTTTCTCAAGAATCCCTTAGCTCTGAGCAAAAAGATCCATAATTCATCAACCCCCAGAGGAGAGCTCTGGGTATATGGTAAGAGAATTCCATATATGTTAGTCCAAACTAAAAGGCATCTGCTAAGCTATGATGGGTATGGAGGTGTTACCCCAGAGGCAAACTGCACCAATCTGTGGGCCTGTGAGCTGCCACCCCATTAAATGTTTATCTTTATAAGAGTTACTGGTCATGGTGTCTCCTCACAACAACAGAAACCCTAATTAAGATAGAGGCTAAGAAAGATACATTTGTGGATATTCTGGTACTCTTAGGGGATCCAAAACAACAGGTGAAGCAAGGTTCTACACAACAGATAGGCGGGACTAAGCTATCTTCTGACTGCTCACAAAGTTACAAAAAGCCAAGACCCCAAGATCTAGTGTGGTCACAAACAAATACTAAATGTTCAGTCTCCAGCACACAGAAACTCAAGACAGAGGAAGAGACTTCCCTTAGGGTCCTAACCTGGCATCTTCCAGATTCAACAAGGGAGCAACCCAGATTAGAGATAATTCTGGGAACCAAGTACTTGCCATAGCTGGTTACTACAGGTAGATAACCATTGGAAGATCTAGCTCCACCTATTAAACCGAAGTTGGTGCCGCCATGGAACATGTAGAAGTTGAAGGAGAACCCAAGGATGAACATCTCCCGCACATCCTTCAACAGCACTGCAGAAAGGTGGGAAGAAAGGGGGAAGCAGGGGTGGGATTAGGATGGAAGAATTCAGTTTGTAGTGGATGTTCAAACTACCTAGACCTGAAATCCTCAAGATCTGCTAGAGCCTGTGTGCAGAAAATCCTTTCAGATGAGCCAGGACTTGTTAGAGTAGTTGACAGTGTTTGTTTTCATGATACAAAATCACTTATTACTTTTTTAATCTAGGTTTCAAATTTGAGGGAATCTTTCTTTCTAGCACACAAACATAAACTTTCTAGTATATAAAGTATTGCTCATAACTTTTTATGGTCATAGGTATGTCCAGGGTATTTCTAAAGCCCTTGTGAACTTCTTAGTGACAAGTCTGAAATGATGGCACCAGTCACATTTACCTCCAACTCCACTTAAATGGCCATCATCCATTCTCCAGGTAGAGTAAGAGAGTGATGAGTCAAAATCAGCCGAGTAGGGATTATACCACTTCCGGCATCTATTCCCAGCACACCTTCATCGTATTTCCCCCTCCCAGAAGAACCCATTCTCATTACTTTTATAGCATAGTGAAATGTATATAAAATGAAAACTTAAGAAACTTAACTTCCTCTTCCAATGACCCCATAGGTGCTCAGCCTATGGCCACTCCATATGAGCAGATGTCTAGACGGTATCTACTTAGCTAAGTTGATGTTTATATTATACAACATCTGAGAATCTTGACCCTAAACCTCAAGTACACTAACGAACAACAAACAAACAATCAAAAACAAGCAACTGAAATCAAAGAACCAGACCAGTGCTCCTGTAAAGTCATAAGGAGGGCTCACTCTGTGGATCTCCAAACTGGCGGGGAGTTCCCCATGTATCAGAAGAGGCTGTCGTATACACCATCATCAGTATGGGGCTTCTGCCCTGAAGGAAAAAAACACACATAGGTTTAGGAAGCTCTTCCCCAATTCTGCAGCCCTGAAGAACCTGCAAAGGAGCTGTGATGCCCAGGTCTTCAGCACTTTGACTGAAAGCAGCCTGACGCCCCCAGGAGCGCTGAGTCCTACTCTCCCATTCCCACGTGATCTTCCCAGCCACATCGTCTCCTCGTGTGACTTCACTGACTTCATTTTTGACAAGCTTCAGGGGTGGGAAGGGTATCAACTGCTATTTTAACATTTTGCTTTCAAGACATCCTAAAAGTAGAATTCAGAAATTTCTAAAAATAGAATCTTTTTATTCTCCTGGGTGACCTGAGTAGAGGTCTGGTAAGAAACAGCAGACACAGAGGAAGGATCTCAGTGTTCAATTACAGGGGGCTGCGTAGGTGAAGGGATCCTGACAAGTGCTGGGCTTTCACCTATGACAGAAGGCAATGTCCGAGAAACCGGAGTGAACAAGAGTTAGGAATACAGCACTCAAACACTATGGCCTGTGGACCAAGTATTCTGGATGTATACAATTTGAACCTAAAACCACCTGAAATAGATAGTTAAGGACACCACGGACTCAGATTTTAACTAAACTAATTACTACTAAGGTTTTCCTCAATAAGTGAGCCAAGAATTCCTGGGTAGGGCAAGAAGCAAAGTGGCTGTCATGTCTGAAAGGCCTTTACTTGAATGGATTGGAGTTCTTCGTATGTTTCTTTCTTTATATTCTTCATGTGGACAGTGGCCAGCACTGTGGGTGGAAAGAACACACATGAGATCCTGCCATGACCACACAGAACAGACTCTCCCAGAACCATGCTACAGAATCCAGACCACATATCTTGGACATCTGTGTCCCAAATTCTCACTTCAATACTGCTGTATCCAGAGCTAGCGTTAAAGATAAGATGTCACACTTACAGCCACAGAAGCACATATGAATGGATTTACATATTGTGCTTCACTTAGAACTTATGGTGATGGTCGTGAATGTTAAAATGTGGTTAGAATATGCCACATGACATAAATTAATACATGAAAAGCAAATGAAGCAATTGAGACTCTAAAATTTGATGTTTTTGGTTGTGGGGGTTAAATCCAGGATCTCTTTTATGCTTGTGTTCTAGATCAGACCACTATTGTAACCTTTAGATTACATCAGAGATGGACACGCACGCATGCATGTACGCATGCACGCATGCACACACACACACACACAAAATTATGGACGAGAGCATTGGAAGAGAATGGAGTTGACAAAATCACTTAGAGAGAAGAATTCAAGAATTGCTCTATTGCTTTTCATAATCTTGGTCCCTATGCATCCATTCTCTCCTCTTTGCATGTTGATCCCATGTACACATGCTAAGCAAGTGCTCTACCCTGACAATTACTCCCTCCCACCCGACTCCCAACCCTGCTTTTATTCTCTGGACTCGTTTGTTCCTAGAACAGCCAGGGCTGGGTCCATGGCAGTACGACTGCTCTGAAACCCCTCCATTCTGTGTGGTTCAGTCAGGGACTCTTGTCAGAATTGGAGACAACTTACTTGTACCCCAACTGTTCCCTGTGCTAGGCCACTCAACATTTGAAAGGGAGGAGTAACGCTCTGGTCATAACAGCTGCTGTGCACCAAGGTTGGGCCCTACGTCCTAACTCAGTTTTGACCACAAGTTCTTACCACCAGGAATTGGAAGGATGACGTATAGAAAGACCTGTGCTTTTTCAACTTGGCCAGTGTAGAAATAAGTGCAATCAATATCATACCGTTTTTCAAGTGGCCCTTTCTCAGATTCAGGCCATCGTCTGCAGTCATGAGCAGCTCACTGATCCCTCTTGACACCAAAGCCTGGGGAGAAAGTCAGTAAGAGAAATAAATGGGTTGCCCTGGGCCCATGAGTTTGCTTCTTCCTAGGGGTGGAAAAAAAACCAAAAGAACTATAGCCATGGAAATACCACTGTTCAGTTGAGACATGGAGTGGAAGGCTTCATTCCCCATGCAACCACTTTTATGCTATAAAGTTAAAACAAACATATTGTAACTATAATTCTTACTTGATACATGTCTTATTATATGTAATTTTACTATGTTAAAGTTAAAACTTTCCTCTTTTTCTTTAAACAGAAAAGGGGAGGTGATGTGGGATTCCCCTCTGTATGCTATGAATACCATTGACTAATAAAGGATTGCTTTGAGCCCATAGCAGAACAGGGCAGAAAGAGCTAGGTGGGAAAAACTAAAGGGAATGCTGGGAGAAAGAAGGCAGAGTCAGGGAGAAGCCATGGATCTGCTGCCGGAGACAGAGTGCTGAAATGTTGCTGGTAGGCCATGACCTCATGGTAATGCATAGATTACTAGAAATGGATTAAATTAAGATGTAAGAGTTAGACAATAAGAAGTTAGAGCTAATGGGCCAAGCACTGTTTTAATTAATATAGTTTCTGTGTGGTTATTTTGGTTCTGGGTGGCTGGGATGGACAAGCAGCCTCTTCATACATATACTTTTTGCTTTTTTTTGGTCAAAAATCAGGTGTTCATAGGTGTGTGAATTGATATCTGGGTCTTGATTCAGTTCCATTGGTCCTTCTGTCTGTTTTTATGCCAATACCAGACTGTTTTCAGTACTGTAGCTCTGTAGTAGAGTTTCAGGTCAGGGACTGTGATGCCTCCAGAAGTTCCTTTATTGTACAGGATTGTTTTGGCTACCCTGTTTTTTTTTGTTTTTTGTTTTTTTGCTTTTCCATATGAAATTGAGTACTGTTCTTTCAAGGTCTGAAAAGAATTTTGCTGGGCATTGCATTAAATCTGTAGGTTCTTTTGGTAAGATTGCCACTTTTACTATGTGAATTCTACCTACCCAAGAGCACGGGCAATCTTTTCATTTTCTGGTGTCTTCTTCAATTTCTTTCTTCAGAGATTTTAAGTTCTTGTCATACAGATCTTCCACTTGTTTGGTTATAGTTACTTCAAGATATTTTATGCTGTTTGTGGTTATTGTGAAGAGTGATATTTCTCTGATTTCTTTCACAGCCAATTTTATCATCTGTGTAAAGGAGAGCTACTGATTTTTTTTTTTAGTTAATCTTGTATCCTGATGCATTACTAAAGGTGTTTATGAGTTCTAGAAGTTCCTTGGTAGACTTCTCGGTTTGCTTATATAAACTACCATATCAGCAAA